TCTTGAGTTTAGATGTTTTATAAAGCATAGCTGTCTGTGATTCTTCCTTCAACCTTTTAAGACGCATGGATTATGTAAAATTTTCAGAGCAATCAGAGGATTGGACTTTTATCCAGTTGCTTAACCAGATCAAATGTTTACTCCATATAGAGAAAATTCTGAGATGCAAAAGTTTTTGATACCTTTCCATACAAGGCATTTTGTAAATGATTTCTTGATGTTTTCACATATATTTAGAAGCTGAAATGGATCCCTGAGCCCAGGTAACACAATCTTAATGATAATATTAATATGTTAGAAATTAAAAGTGTTCTATTAGCTGAATGAATAAATTGGCCTTAAGCCTGCAGTCCCAGCTAGTTGCAGAGCTAAGCCCGTGTTACTTTGACTAGCTTCAACCACATTCTTTCCTTGTGTTCTCTACTTTTCTGTGTGATTTTTCTAGAATCATAGAATCATTCAATGATTTGGATTGGAAGGGACCTTAGAGATCATCTAGTTCTGTCCCCTCTGCCATGGGACCTTCCACTAGACCAAGTTGTTTACTGCCCCATCCAATGTCACTCTTGGACCACTCAATAGTCTCCTCTTGGACACTAAGCTCTTGATCATAACTCTTTGACTGCAACCATCCAGCCAGTTCCTTATCCACTGAGTGGTTCATCTGTCAAATCCATGTCTCTCCAGTTTCAAGACAAGAATATTGTGTGGGACAGTATTAAATATTTTGCAGAAGTGCAGGTAGACAATATCAGTTGCTTTCCCCTTATCCACCAAGTCTGTAACCCCATCACAGAAGGTCAAAAAATTTGTAGAGCACAATTTGCCCTTAGTGAAGCCATGTTGTCTGTCACCAGTTACTTCCCTATTTTCCTTATCTTTCATCTCTAGTCTTGCTCTCACTTTATTAGCTCTCTGGAAGATACTATTTTATTCTATATTTACAAAGCATTTGGCACAGGAGAACTGATCATCCTGAGCATAGTTCTTAGGCATTAAAACAATATGAATATTAAATAATTTCTTTTCTTTAAAGCCAACTACTACTTTGGGGTACACTCTTTATGTGTAGAGAGGGATGGGACACAGAGGGATGAACTTTGCAATATATAGTTCATACTATGTTCACAGAAATGTTAAAAAATAAGCAGGCACAGCATCACAAGCAATTGAGAATGTGTTTCTCAGGATTCATGCTACGTTTAAGTGGCACTTGTTATCTTATCTTATGCTGCGTAATTCCAGTAGAAGGAGAATGTATGTCTTTCTACTGTCTGCTGACAGCAGGAGATAATTCATCATCCAGTAAAGCTCTTTCCATCCTAGTTCTTGGCCTAAATCCAGATTGTCCTGGGTCCAGAATACACTGGCTTTAGCTAGATCGGCTTGTAATTGGCCTTTGGCTAACTCCTCTATGAGCCCAGTCTGATATTGGTATGTAACTATTCAGAGCTGGTTTATTTGATGCTGGTTAGGTGAGTTTGTTTTCATATAGAAGAAGAAGAACCATTCTTTTTCTAAGCACATTTCAGGCTAGGTTGATTGTTTTAACAATAAAGCAAATTATCAGACCTTATATAAAAATTGGTGATATACATATAGGTGGCCCCCTTACCAGCTCTTTTGACCTTAAACTGTATTAATTTCTTCCCTGAATGAAATTCTGTCTACTTCAAATAGGCACCACTTGCTTCTGTTAAAGCAAGTGAGAATATGGTGGTCTTGAGTTTAAAGTTGTCCATGGGATTTAGAACAGCTCATCTATGAAGAGCAGTTTAAAGACGGACTGTTCTTTGTTCCTATAGTCTGCCACTTTCCATCAAAGAATCCTGGAGGATAACCAGGCTGTAAGAAGAAAACAAAGTATTAAATTATCAGGATGGAGTAACACCATGGTCATCTATTACAGACGTATTTATAACAGTGTTTAGCGATCTCTAGAATTTACTCCTTACTTTATTTTAGGGCTGCAAATTCATCCATTTAAATATAAATGAAAATTGATACAAAAAAAAAAGTCTATATTTGAATAGGCTTATTTAGCTGCTTCGGCAGAACAAGACTATAATCTCAAGTGCATTCTCCAAAACAGTAGTTAAAGATGAAGAAATAGGACCCTCAGTTTCCCTCAGGAGTCTGTTCCAGAGACTAACAGAAACCCAGTATAGATGAAGTAATAGGTCAGATTGGTTAACTTTAAGAAAACTGTAAGGCATTTTATCTCCCCCTTTCTTTCTTCCCTTCCTTTCCCAGGCCAAATTTTTACTGCATTTATGGTAGGAAATGAAATATGATACAATTAAAACAATGGCATTTTTTAGCATAAGAATTCCTTCTTCAAAACTCTACTTATAATTCTCTTGAAAGACGAAAGCATATATTACCACTTTTTATTCTTGTTAACCCTGGGAAACAATGTATCAGTGACAGATAGAAATGGTTTATATGTGGTTTAAAGAGCAGCATTATTAAGTACTGCGTCAATGGCACGCTCCCGACACTTTCTTTCCTTCAGTGATGCAGAAGGAACCACACCTGGGTTTCAACCCCAGCTTCAGTTATCAAGTGTGGCAGTTTAAAAAAAAACCTTTTTGAATACATAAATGAAGACAGCACTATAAGAAATCAACACAGTACCCTGTAATGCTACTGATAGTAATGTCTTTTGATATTTTACCTGTGTTTAAAATATTCTATTCCCTTTGTTAATCTCTGGTCATCCTGGTGACTTTTGCATCCTTATGATTACAGCAGTGTGTTTAATTGTCAGATATTACACAATGTGATTCCTTTGTGAACAAGTTCAAAATGGCACTTTTGCTTGCCTTCAGCTTATTACACCAGCTTCACAGGTTCTCTGCGTCACTGAAGCAGCACAGAGAAGCTCTATAGCAGAGAGTCTACCTCAAGCTGTAATTAATCACCAAGGTGCTGACTAAGCTGTACTGTGGCACTTTTTGTAAGTCAAGGAATCTGTTTTCTTGACATCAGCCAAACTCTTTTCCCCTACACCTTAGTGATGGACACTGTGCAGTGTTCTGGTCAAGCTTTTGCCAAAGGTTTCTACATTCAGAGATGCTTCATTGTATGCTTAGGGATTTATTCAAGGTAGCTTGCTGTCCTTTACTGAATGCCATTTTAATGTTAAAATAAAATTTAATGAGTACTAAAAAAGGAGCAAATTGAGCATTTTATTTTTATTTATAAGCTTCTAGGAGTGAAATGTTACCAAGTCAGATCAAAGCTTATGGTGTTGGAGTTCTGTTCTGCGGGAATGATTTACACAAGAATGATATCAGATACATTTTATTGTGGCCTCCAAACAATTTTACAAAATAAGCTGAGCTGCACAGCACTTTACAGGCACTTGCAGATTTCCAAGGCGGTGCTAGCTCAGCTGAAAACAGATTAGTTTGCTGATTATTAGAAAACAAAAATTTCTCAATAGCTGGTAGCTAGAACACTGAAATGGAAGAAGTTCATTTCCTCTTACAAAAAGATTTCTTGTTACAGAAGTTATAAAACTTGCCCCTTCCTGCACATATTAGAAGTCGGGGGGGGGTTGTGAGTTCAGGGGGCTGCTTCAGCTTTTTGGAAGTAAGCAATAGCAATACACTGAATGAACTAACATATGGCTGCTAGGAAGCGGAAAGGGCACTATCAGGATATAATTCACGGGGAGCAGGGCAGTGTCATTCAACGGCTGCTGGCTTTCTGAGGAGGAGAAAACTCCCTCTGAGGAGAGTTTATTCAGCTGTGTTGAATAAACTATTCTCCTTGCTTTTGAGGGATAAACACCACTACCCTAAATAGCTGGCAGAAACTGCCACAGAGAAGGCAGAATAGAGTCAATTATTTTCGATACGCACTTTTTTCCATACCCATTAATAGTGAACTTTTGAAAGCAGTGCGCATGATTGTCCGTAACTGCAGTATATGTATATAACAAGAAAAGACTTCTCTGGAATACGGCTATGAAAATCTCAGAATGAGAATTATGAACTATCAATTCATAATCTGAAATTCTCAGGTTATGAAATGCAAAATTCTGGGGATTTCAAGAGATGCCCTCTTGTCAAATTGCTCATATTAACCCAAAACTTTTAGTATGACCTTCCTTACAAGAACTCTATATTTTGAACAACTGTAGATTTGTATCGGTACCTGAAAAAATTTTCTACTTGAGATTAAATATTTTGGAATATGTTCTCATATATTTTAAAGAGTATAATTAAGTAGTTTCTTCCTGTGTTGTTTTTAATTTGTCTTTAACTACAGACCTTCCACAAAAGATGATGCTTAATTATAATAACATTTAACTGTTATACATGTCGCTTTGTACAGACTACAGATGGAAAACAGAAAAAATATTTCATATAATCTGATCTTTTGTTATCTTACTCTGCTACTACCTTCACCATACAACTCTTGTTGACTTCCAGAGGAGGAGAAACAAGCCTGAAATATTTCTTTCTGCTACCTTCATTGACATTATCAGCTCTTTATTGTGCCTTAAAATAATTCCTTTTCCCTACTTGACTGACACCTTTATTGATGTAAGTCTTAATTATCGGTCTTTCTGGAGTTTAACTCAGAAGTTTTTGTTAAAAACTCTCCTCAAAAACACCCTAACTGTGAGATACCAGCATATCTTCCAGGCACAAAGCGGAAAATGATTGAGCATTTAAAAAATGTGGGTTTAATCTCAAATATTGGGACCTTTTGACAGTTGTGTGGTGCTTACTACTTGATTTATTGGGATTCACATGAAAAGATCATGAAAAATGGTTAACAAAACAAATTGTTGACTCCTTTTCCCATAATGTAAAATAAATAAAAAACCAAACACAAAGCTCAGAAAAATGAACAATTCCATCTCAAAAGCTTTGGATGTCTTTTCATCTGCTTTACTGCACATTTTATGCTCAGTTTCTCTCATCCTGGGTTAGGCTTAATAAGGTGGCAGAAAACAGCTATCTCCTTATTCCCTTTTCTGTTCAAATGACAAGATTATTGCATAACATTAAGTCTGGACAAATCTAGCTATCACTTTTTGACATCCAGCCATTTAAGGAGAGGGAGGGAGTTAAGTTGTCACATCAGAAAGCCCTGTTGAATGTTCCTAAGGCTTCTCTCCAGGACACTGGTGCTTTGTGTGAAGGCCTTTGTTTTAAAAATCTTTTGGTGGCTGAAACAGACCAAGGTAGATGCAAATGAAAGCACTACTCTTAAAATCCAAAACCAGAATATTGGAGTCCAACTCTTGTTTCTTCTTCTATTGATACGCTATTTTCTACCTGCAATGGTAGTCAAGGTCTCAGTTTGGCTCTCAGTTGACAGTTGTGAGCTCTTTGATGTGCAGTTGGTCTGAGTAGAGAAGTATCTTCCACTATTACCTGTTAAAAGAAAAGAGTAATCCTAGCTCACACAGTACAGAATGATGGTTTCTGTACAAACTACATGGCAGTTTTCAGCTAGCTCTGATTGCTTTGTGCTATTTGTGCTGCCTGGAATTAATGCAGACATAAAATATTTTTATCTAAAAATACCTTTCTTAAAATCTTAAGTGAGAGACAATTCTTTACATGATCGCTAGTCTTCTTGTTCATAGAAAGTTCTTTTTCTGTTTCCCCATTTTTCTGTCAAAAGAAGCAAAAATATTGTATTGCACTTCACTTTAGAATTATACGCTCATATTTAAAAAACATGATATTATAAGCTATTATAGCTCTCCTTAATTAAGAAATTCAATATATGCTCTTGCAGATGTTTACAAACTAATATGCACTTAGTGCTTCTCTCAGAGCTTTTAATATCTGCAAAAGTATTTTCATTCTACTGAGAGAATTTCATAGGTTTGTTGGTTTGAACTAATTTTCCTTCCTCTCTCTTTATGCTTATTCATAATGCTGCTGTTGATACCACTAAAATACATTCTGATATCTGAAAATCAGAGCAAATTGTTTGTTTCTAATACCAGACAAAGATTTGGAGCAGTATGGGGAAAGATGGCTTTCTCAAATCTTCTGTTTTACATCTTCCAGAACAGAAACCATGCTGAGAAGCCTCTTAAGACAACTTCTGACTTATTTCCTGATATAAGTTGAAAGTCACGGGTTTTGCAGAATTGTGTGTTTGACAGTCTAAAGATCACAAGAATAATACTTTCAACAAAGTACTTGTTTTAGTTCTAAATCAGAAAATAATATGTAGCAATTGCAAACGCTTGCTAATCATGAAGGTTTTTTCTCTACATTAAGTAATTATGCTGAACTGACACTGTATCTAGATTAGTTGCTATTGTTTTCTGATTTTTCTGGCTGCATAATGAGTGGCTCAGCAGGTCACTTTATCATCCATCTCTACCTGACCAGTTAATATTCCGTGTGGATGTAGAAAGTGAGCTGATGCCTGCTTACCTTTCCCTTGGAGGACACCTGTCATTTAGGAGTCACTCATTGGGAACAACCACTGTACTCTATGCCCTATTAATTTCTTCATGTTAGCCATTAGGACAGGGAAAGGAATTTACTGCAGTAAAGTGGTTTTTACAGCGACTAATTAGGTAACATGAGATGAGGAACCCACACAATTCAACCACCTAGGACAATATTATCTTCAGTTCAGCCCAATAAAATATGACAGACATACAGTGGCCACGGCAGATACTAAACCTTTTCAACCATAGACATTTAAAACATCAGGAAAGTAAAAATATTTAAAATAAAATTTTCTAGGCAGATGTGTGCTTCAGGGTACTCAGAAGAGGAGGAGAAAGCAGATTTTTAGGCTGAATGGCTCTGCCATTAATCAGATTAGGGTAGAAGCCACCGAAGCTATTCTTTTGCCTGTGTTGAAGACACAAAGTTCAAAAATACTGAGGTGCTGGAGCAAGTCTAAAGAAAGACAATGAAGCTGGTGAAGGGTCTAGAGGGTAAATCCTATGAGGAGCGTCCGAGGGAGCTGGAGAAGAGGAGGCTCAGGGATGACCTCATCACACTCTACAACTACCTAAGAGGAGGTTGTAGCCAGGTGGGGGTCGTTCTCTTCTCTCAGGCAACCAGTGATAGGATGAGAGGACACAGCCTAAGGTGCACAAGGGGAGATTCAGATTGAACATCAGGAGGAATTTCTTCATAGAAAGGGTTGTTAAACATTGGAATGGACTGCCCAGGGAGGTGGTGGATTCACCACCCCTGGAGGTGTTTGAGAAATGACTGGTCTTGGCACTTAATACCATGTTCTAGTTGACAAGGTGGTGATCAGTTAAAGGTTGGACTTGATGAACTCAGAAGTTTTTTCCAACCTAAATGATTCCGTGATTCAGTGATTCTACCCTTACAGCCAAACTCAGAATACCTTCTTGCCTTGCGGCAATAGCTGATGCCATGAGGAAATGAGAAGTGCACACATCTGATCTCCATCTTTGTAAATCTGACACAGATGTGACAAAGTTAAAAATGAACACAGAAATTGGTAGCACCTACTGTGTAGAAGACATATTTTGAACGTGATAGTGAAACTTTCTTTCCTGCATGCTCTGAGCAGGCCTCATCCTTCACAGCTCTCAGCATGCCTTGGCGATGGATGTGCTCAGACAGCTGAAAAACTCAGTGCATTCCAACAGAAACTGCTTTGGATGTGCATAGGTTGTCGTGACAGTAGGTGGAGAGAATGAAACACTGAGGAACTGGGAGAATATCACTGCTGTGCTCTTCACGTTTCTGTTGTTCTGCTAATGCCCAGTCTGGAAGAAAAATGAAAATAAAATGTAAAATAAATGTGGTACTCTGGCAGTATTTATATAGATGGTGAAAGGTAAATAAAGAGGCATGAAAGGTCAGATAGGAAAAGAGCTGGAGGGCAATCTTTTTGTAATGCAGTGGAGAGTGAACCAAAGTATTTAGATATGAAAAATGATGAGGTTATAAATAAAGTTATAGGCAAATACTTTTCAGAGCAGCACTGCTCAGAATTTTCAGCATCTCTGTGTTGAATTTAGATGCCTCTTTTCCAGAAGGTATTGGAAGACACGCATCTTAAAATCTCAACCATTGCTTAGTCATCATTTTGCCTGTGTCAATAAACTTCAGACATAAAATTGTATGATCATTTATTTGAACTCACAGACAAAAAGAAATCTTTTTATGGATGCTGGGCATCCAGATCTCCACACCTTTACGCCTCGGTCATGGAAAGGTGATTCATCAACAAAAAAGGACCACTAGCAACTGCCTCGGCTCTAAGGCTTCGGACTGAGACCTGATGGAGCAGTTCTGACCTTCTCTCCAGTAGAGGGCAGCGATACACAAAAACTCACTGTATTTTCAAACTGAAAAATTTGTAATGTGGTAAATAGCAGCATATGGAAGGAATTCATGTAAGTGTGCATACAGATTAATTATGTAGTAACAACAGTCGATATGATGACCTCTTTCACCATCAGTCAAAGCAAAGAGAACTTCCTCCAAGAAGAAAGAGATCAAAGTGTGAATATAGCATATAATAAGGTCTTTTGCATTTGGGGTCATTTGATAAACAGCAGATGGTTGAAGATATTCATACTGAACTATCTCACTTCCCCAAGCCATTTAAATGTTTTCTTTCAGAATCCTACTTTTCTGATCTAAAAACTATTTTGGAATATTTTTCTTCCAAGCATTGCTTTCTTCATTTGTTTCTCGCTCACATACATTCGCTTACTGTCCTTCCTGAAACCCTCTGCTTCACAGCCACTTCTCAGTTTTGTTCATGTGTGCCATCTCTCCCACAGCCAGGTGAAGAATCTTTCCTCCCATCTTGGAAATCTTCCCTCCAATTTGCACATCTTCTGAGACACCCATGAGTATTAGGACTACCAGCACAGTCAAGTGTTATGCCTAAAATCTGAATAGTTAGTGCCTCACAAAGAGCATCTACATCATTATGTAAAGCAGCTTGAACTTCTTATTTCTCCAGGCTGCAGATTCCTCTAGAACTATCAGGTGAGAATTTACAGGAAGTCTTCCTTCTCCCAATCCCTTGGCCCAGCCAGACCAAAGTCAGGCAAGCAAGGAGAATCCAGAAAACTGATTAAATGGTTTACATTCACCATAGGGAATGCGAGTAAAAAAAAGAAACAAAAATTACCTTGCTGGCTTTTATTTTAAGGTCAGATCATTTCATGCACAAATATGTCCTCTTTCTTCTTACTCTTCAGTCTTCAAAGGAAATTGCGCCTACTTCATTTTCTGGAAGTTTGGATGAAGGCTAAAAATATCTTACCTGTTTTCATGACTACCTACTAATGACTACTAACTAATGCAATCAACCTGTTTGGTATAAATACTCTCATAGGACTATCACACATAAAATGAATAAATCTGCTTTATAAATTCGTAGGCCTACGAAAGGCAGGCTAAATCTTCACATAATTATATAGGAAACATTACACAAATTCTACTCTGAGATCCTTGCAGACCATCGTATTTTAAACAACAGATAATGTCAGATTTGAAACTGGCTTGAAAATTCAGTTCATGATGACAAGTCAAAAAATTCTTGCTAAGTGATAAAGTAATATATGACATAGGATAGTGCTGTATATACACCAAAATAAAACAATGAACCCTTTACTATTTAGCTTATTTACCTGAGTTACATCAGATTCAGCATCTGTGTTTCAGTTAAACAATTAAGACAGTATGTGTACTTTTATTTTATATGAACAAACAAACAAATAATATGGCTTCGGGGTGCAATTTGGTTTTTTAACAACGTCACGGTGACTTGATTTATACAACTTATTAACAACAAATTTAGTCTTTTTTATTTTAGTGCAGGACTTCTGGGAAGTCCCAAAGCATTTTATTGTCAACATCTACATCCAAGAATCGACAATCTTTTCAGTTATTTCCCCTCTACATCACCTACATCTACAACTAAAAAAAAAAACCCCAGCAAGTATTTTTAAATAGATTGACCAATTTTTTCCCCAGTCAGCAAGTTGACTGCTTGATAATTAACAGAATTATCAGGTGTCAGAATTTCCTATCCTACCTAGCCTGTAGATATGACCTCTATTTTTAATTAAAAATGTCAACAACACTTCATCCTTTTCTCCTTGTTTTACTCCTGAGACATTAGGTCTACATTGTCCACTACAAACAAAACATTAGTATAAACAGTATACCATATGATGTTGCCACGATTTTTTTTTCATGTTCGTCATTTAATAAACCTTTTTCTATGACTAATATTAGCTTTTAGTCCATATGTATTACTTGTTGGGTAAAAAGAATAAAATATCAAGTACCTTCCTCACAAACTTTTCCTGGTTTGGGCCTTAAGAAATCACATCTTGAAACTTGCTGGCAGGACCCACTAGTAAATTTAGGACTATCACATTAGTCTGAACATTCTGTTTTAGCTCTTTCATGAATTTTATGTCAAAATCTCATTTATATGCATATATGCGGCTATACAGCCAAGAGATTGGTATAGTATTTACTACTTAGCAAAGAATTGGTTTCAATCAATGTTGAAACACCTTTTAGTAGGTCATAAACCCTGGTGGAAATTTGAGTGTACCTGATCGGACACGCGAGTATCAGGGTGCCCTCACAGTGGCCTGGATGAGCACAGCCTTTCACTGCGTTTTCACTTTCTATAATGCTAACACAAATATTTGTAGTTGTACCTACAGCTCTCACAAACGCCCAGCTCACGCTCCGCAGTTCCAGCCGCCCCTAGACCCACGGCCGTGCAGCCGGGCGTCCCCAAGCTCGGACAGCGGGGACCCGCGTGCTTTGGGGGGTCCACCTGTCGCGCCCCCGCCTCTGGCTGCAGTAGCACCCCCGGGAAACGCCGCGTCCCCCTCTCCCGCTCCCCCCGCGCTCCCCGGCGAGGCCGTGAGCCCTGGTTGAGGGCGCCGCATCCCCGTCCTACGCGGGGCATCCCCGGTGCCCAGGGCCGCTCTCCGGGTGGCACTGTATGGGCAGAAACATGGGAGTAGGTTGTTTTTTTCCAGCTGCTTCCTGCCGGGCGCTGGTAGCCGGGGTACATTAGGGTCCCCTGCGACAGAGGCCCTGAGGGTCTTTCCCGAAGGCACGTCCTTGGGAGCGGGCGGGAAGGGCGGTCGGGCGTGCGGGGCCGGCGCGGAGGGGCAGCCCGACCGCCGCCGTAGTAGCGAGCTGCTCCTCCGGTGGTTGGGCTGGGGAGCGCTGGGCTCCTCCTCCTCATCCCCCCCAGCAGTGCACAGCCGGGCGTGTGACTGACGAGTCTCCCCCCGTCTCTCTTTTTCTTTTTTTCCTTCTTATTATTTTTTTTTTTCCATGGGTACACACACCGAGACACGCACATGACAGTACTTGGGTGCCAGCGCCGGTGCATCGCCAGGAGGGCTGTGCTTCACTCCGGGCACGCACACACGCATGCTGCTGCTGCTGCTGCTTCTGCTGCTGGAAGTCTTTCTACACAGGGATTAGCAGCCACGTCTCGCTCTCTGTATTTCCCTGTCTCTTTCTTCTCCCTTCCTTCCCTTTCTCCTTCTCTCCCTCAAACGCCTGACTGACGGACGGCAGGCAGGAAAAGGTAAATGCGGGCGTGCTGATTGCTGACGGTACCGAGGGGTGATGGTGCTCGGAGGCGTGCTGCGCGCTACGCCCTCCGCTCGCCGGGCAGCCTGCCGGGCTCGCCCGCCCGCCTGCCCTCCCGCCGCGCCGGCGGCTGCCGCGGCCGCCGCTCCCCGACACTCGGCGTCTCGGGGGATCGGGTTTTGCCGCGAGAGGTTTGGCTTCCCCAGCCCCCCCTTCCCTTCCTCCGACTCTGCGAGGCACAGAGGTTCCCCGCTATTGTGCTGCTCGCACTTGGCACCGCGGGTGCGAGCGTGCGGGAGCGCTTAACCAGGGGTTCGCGGGATGGGGTTGGCGATTAATTACTGTCTGCGCCGAAGAGGAGAGCGCTTCCTCTGGCAGGGAACCTGGGCATTATTTATTAATCGGGGCTGGAGAGTGGCAACGGGAGGACTAGTCGTTGTCCCCGCGTCCCTGTACTGTGTCCCCCTCCCCGCTTGCTGCATCATTCAAATGAGTAATTCCTAGCTGGCCTTGCGTTGCGGGGCTCTATTCCCCCTCCGCCGAGGCTCTGCCAGCCGCCGCGGACTGCCATCCTCCTTCTTTGCCCCGGGGGGCGCCCCCTTCCGCGGGGAGCCTTGCGGGCGAGCGACGCGGGGGCATCCGCTGTCCCGGGTCTTGCCCCGCCGTTCCCCGCAATCCATATGGAGCGCTGGCTCCATAACTAGTTGTCGCCAGTTGTTCGGGCAGAGTTTGTCCCGCGCCCCTCCCCGTCAGGACGAGAGCAGCAGGGTGGATATTTGCCTCCCCCCGCGGCGAAGTGGTGCGGGATTTCCGTGGAACCGAGAGGTCCCGCACCGCGCAGCCCAGCCGAGCGGACCGCGTCCCGCGGGGCTTGCCCGGACCCCAGTCTAGGCTCCCATGCCCAGAGGCGCGGGTGCCTGGGAGAGCGCTTCTAGCCGGCAGGGGACGGGAGGGAGGCGGTGCTGAGGAGCCTGTGCTCCCGGGCCCCTCGGGCAGCGGAGCGCCCCCGCTGCCGGGAAGGGGAGGTCGGGCGGGGTAGGCGCTCCCCCCTCCTCGGGCCAGCAGCGGCCCTGGCGGACAGGTGTGGGCGTTTAGCGGCGGAGAGCTCCGGTGAGCGCCCGGGCAGCTCCCGGGGCGGAGGTTAAAGCGCCCCCCGGGAAGGGCAGGCCTTCCTCGGCCGTGTCGGTGCCCATCGCTTCCCGGGCAGCGGGAGCGGTGCCGCTGCGCTCCCGCCGAGCGGGTGCCGAAGCGGGGTGGGATGGGCCGCCGCTGCCCCCCATTCCCCGTCCGCCGGGCAAACAAGGCATTTAGCGAGGTCCGTTATGTAATTACGGCTTTTTTTTTTTTTTTTTCCTTCTTATTGCTGTTACTAAACCCGGCTCCGGATGCCGGCAAGGAAACGGCTACATAGTGCTTGTTTCTGAAGGAGGCAGATGGTTTTATTTGATCTCAGAGAAAAAAAAATTATTTAGTAATTAATATTTAAGCGCTTTGGTTTCACACATGATTGATTTTTGGATAATCTCGTCTCATTCATGTTGTTTTCTACAGTTGTCAGAGGTGCCTAAATACACTGTAAAGACAGAAAGATTTTTTAAAAAAGAATAATAACACAAGCAAAAATGGTGAGAAATGTAGTGGACAGCATATGAAGTTGATTATATATATAAAAAAGTAGTTGCTTAACTTATAGACTGCTTACAAGTGAAAGGTAGGTGTGCTTGTAGGCATGGTGTATGCTCAGCTGGTTGTATTGGATTGTATTTCAGTGTTAATGTACCTTTAAAAAGGCAACACTAATTTCTACTCCTGTGTGGGTCCGGTGTATAAATTTAAGGTATTTCCCCTCTCGTAAAAGACTAGGAGTTTAAGCAGTAAACTGATTCAAGGGATCCAAAAGTCTAAAGGCTGCATATTCAAAGATAAACAGGATATATATTTGAAGATAAAATTGCTGTTGATAGTGATGATTACAGGAAAATTAAGAATCGTTAATGGCAACAGCACCGTTCCTTGCTTTCTTCTGTATAGCTTACTTGTCTGTCCGATACTGTGTATTTCAGCTCACTATTTAAATTAGGTAACTAAGTTAGGTATTTAAATTAGGTAACTACTTAAATTAGTATGAAATATTTAAAACATATGGGAGCAAAATATGCTGTTTGTTAGAGAACTTATCAAGTAGTTTAAAGGGTGCAGTAGTGTTCCCTTATACATTCCCCTGAATTAAAGTTTTCTTTTTTTGTTCTTCATCAGAACTGTACATGTTGAATATCCTTGTTTAATTCAAGGCTCATTCTGGTCTGTCTCTTGTGGGATTAACACTCAGAAGCATATCAGTGTAATCTATTTGTGTTAAACTTTGCAGTGTTGTTCCTTCTATAAAGGTGGTGTATTTCAGTGCAGTTCTGGCTAGTGATGTTGCCACCTGAAAATACAAAAAGAACTGCATGAATAATTCATAAAATAGTATAATAAGTAAAGGTAATCCTGTACTAAGGAACAGTAGTAAGTAGTCTTCATGGAATTTTTTCATTTTAATTTTCACCTTGAAAATTTCACACCATCCAGTAACTCAAATTTTCACCAAATTGAAATAGATGCAATGGCCTCAGAATGGTATTGCTGTTTTAAGCAGACGGGAGCTCAAGGTACTTTAATGGGAGGTAGTTTATTCAGCCCTTCACCTCTAACCAAACTTAATTTTTACTGCCTCTTTTGTATTACCTCTCAAGATTCAAGAAAGCTATTTTTGTCAGGGGCACATAATTATTGCTTGTTCTCCTCTTATGCCAAATTTTGCACTTGTGCACAAAGCTCCTCCAAAGAAACCTGAAAAGGGGATCTCCATGGTAACGAGAGAGAGGAAGAGAGAGAGTAAGGATTTTTCCCTCACCATAGGTCAAGACTAGACACCCACCCATTCCTTAACTTGCAGCAGCATTCATTGGCACCTTCCTCTTAGTGGGTATTTTGTCTCCTGGGGTGTGCTTTTACTGTTGCCTCATGCTTCCAGAGAGGTGCTCTCAAGAATGATGCTACGCTGGATGATCCCAGCCTCTGTGTTTCTCCCTGCTCTAATCCTCCCTTCTGCTTACATCATATTTAAGTGTTTCTGTATCTGTGTGATTTTGAGAAATAACTTGTTTTCCCCATCAAGTTTTTGATTTGAAGACTGGTCTTGTCTCTAACTGTGTATAATAGCTGACAGAACCTTACTCATTAGTCCACTTCAGATGAAAGTGTGTTCATCTCCTTTTTCTCTGTTATTTGTCTTTTTGGAGTCCCAGATATTTTGTAGCAGTCAAAGCAGTCTACCTCTTATCACCACAGAGCAAGGCTGAATTTTATTTTTTGAGTCAGCATGTGATATGTGATACCAGCGTTACTGTTTGGTGATGTCCAGGGTAAAAAGAGTTTCTTTTGCCCTAACTCTGTCATCACAGAGCAGTAATATGGAGCACCTCTTTCTGGGGTAATCGTTGTGGTGGTGGTTTTTTTTTCCCTTCTCTTCTTTGAAGAATTGTCTGCCTAGACTGTGTCTCTGTCAAAGCTGAGATGAAGTGAACACTTTTTATTCCAGATAATCCTGTAGTCAGATACTTAAAACTTTCACTGAGGAATATAACATATTTTCTGTTCCCCTTTTCCTTTCTGTATTCACTTTTTGTAGCTATGATCTCATGAGAGGATACCAAATGGCTTTTTAAATGGTTCCCTTAGGCTAGTGGTGCACCAGGTCTCCCTGGGCATATCTCCAGTTCTTCTGCCTTTGCCTGTGACATAGCTTGGGATAATTTGAAAACATCTGCTAGAGCAACCATCTTAATATAAGACAGCAGTCATCATTTGTCACTGAGCAATATGTCATTTTTGGCTCTCTAATTGAAGACAGATGCTGATGCTGACTTTGGCCTTCTTAACTTGTCTAGCTGGGAGATTGTCTATAGAAACACTTTGCAGTGCTTTGAAATCACAGTATTTCTACTTTTCTGTATCTCTGTGTTTCTTAAAGAATTGTCTGTGTAATTTGAAAATCTGCTCAAGAAACCGTAATGATAGCAGCTAGTACTGCATAATCTGACTTGCTAAGTAAACTTGACTTTATACATCTCTTCAGTGTCTTCTGCTAGATGAGAACCATTTTTGAATAGTTGCCTGTGAAGCCTTTTTCTTCAGCCTTTGAGAAACTGCTGATCTCTT